CCAAGAGACAGTTGTTCGAAAAGAACATGAGAACAATGAATGGTTTAAAAATTAAGAAAGGTGTACAACAGGTTGTATTCTTTTACCACTTCTTCAACCTGAATGCTGAGCAACTAATCCGAGAAGCTGGGTTCTATGTAGAAAAATGTGGCATCAGGATTGGAGGAAGACTCATTAACAACCTGTGATATGCAGATGCTACAACCTTACTTGCTGAAAGTGAAGAGGACTTAAAACATTTACTGATGAAGATCAAAGAGCACAGCCTTCGATATGGATTAAATCTCCATGTCAAGAAAACAAAAATCCTCACCACTGGACCAATAAACAACATTCTTACCAATGGAGAAAAGATTGAATTTGTGAAGGACTTCATTCTTTTTGGATCAACTATCAACACTCATGAAAGCAGCAGTCAAGAAATCAAACAACGTATTCCATTAGGCAAATTTGCCGCACAAGACCTTTTTAAAGTGTTGAAGAGCAAAGAAGTCAGCTTGAGGACTAAGGTGAGCCTGACCCAAGCCACAGTATTTTCTATAACCTCACATGCATGCGAAAGCTGGACAGTGAATAAGGAAGACCATAGAAGAATTGATGCATTTGAATTAAGGTGTTGTAGGAGAATAATGAAAGTGCCATGGGCTGCCAAAAGAACAGACAGATCTGTTTTGGAAGAAGTGCAGCCAGAGTGCTCCTTGGAGGTCAGGATTGCCAAACTTCATCTCTCAGACTTCAGACATATTATCAGGAGGGACCAGTAGCTGGAGAAGGATATCATGTTTGGTAAGGTGGAGGGTCAGATAAAAAGAGGAAGACCCCCAAGAAGAAGGATTTACCAAGTGGCAGCACTGATGGACTCAAGTATGGAAGTGACAGCTTTTTTGTTGTTGGCAGATGAGATCTATGCTAGAACTAATTCATACAAATAATCCTATAAGAAAAAGAATTTGCTACCATAGATCTATGGTCTGCTTTTCTTTGATTTATACATCATGCAACTAGCTGATCTAGGAATTTCTAAACTCAATTAAACATGAAATAACAGAAAGAAACTAACACCAACTCAACTAAAACAAACAAACAAACAAACAAAAAACCTGCAAGAAGAAAGAAGGAAAGGAATAAGCATATAGAATGGTGCATAAATAATTATTACACACCCCCCTCTAAGTCTGAAACTCACAGCGAACACATGAGCAGGCATGTAAGCTTGTTGGTGACCACATTGGTCTACTCGTAAGTGGAAGAGGGGGAGGGGCAGCAATAAAGAAATGGGCTGAGTTCAACCATGGTTTATAGACTCCTGTTGACTTGAAGATGAGAGAGAGAAGAGGAAGGGCTGATTGGTCCAAAGTGTGGTGAAACCTGGGTACACTTGAGCCCATGGCCAAGGACATAACCACAGAGGGCTCGAGCTGAATATGAAGCATCCAGCTGATATGAAGTGAAGGGAGATGCACAAGAACACCTAAACTTGCAGATAGTACCTATCGAGCCATGATGGCTTGATAATCAGAACTTGACTAGAGGAAGATTTAAAAACAAAAAACAAAAACAATTTTTGATAAAGGAAACAAGGGCAAATTGCTACAATTTGATGAACCTGACCTATACTCATGGAGGTAGTAATTCTAAAAACCAACAGAAAGGAAAGGAGTCTTCACATCAAGTATCGATGCTATCCCCTCTGTACACAGGGTAGATAGGGACAGGCAACTTAGACATTGGCTACCTAAACTGAGGGGGTGATAAAGACATGAAGTGACTGGCTTACAAGGTTTCAAAAGGGAGTTTAGTTTAAGAGTGTGTGGGGAGTAGTTGATCTCACAGTGCAGAAACAGAGGACCCTAGGACTGTCAAGGAAGAAGAGTACAAGCAGAATGCAGGACCTTATCCAGAGCAGTGACATCAGAGATGCAAGCAGAGATGGCAACATGGAGAGGGGGAGCAGCTGAGGACTCTAGATTCATGGGAAGAGAGGGACTAAGATCCGGCAGTCAGGAGGTAGACTTGCAGAATGTGCCCGTTGGTGGTGTAAATTATTATATATGCCTGAGTGTTTAAAAACAAAATGAAACAAAAAAAGAATTAACATTAAAAAAAAAAGTATTATTACACACAAAAAGTTGATGTGGAGCAAATAAAAATTTTAATGAGTCCTTAAGTCAAGAATGTCAATCAGAAAGAGAAAATATAAGCTGTCCGGAATTTTTTAAAAGTGGAAGATAAAAAATAAAGTCATCAAACAAATGAGAATTACACCAAAGAAAATACGACAAATGGCATAGAGGACATGGTTGAAAAATATTAGCATAAACAAAATAAAATAAACAGCAATAGAAATAAAACACAAAAAAAGTAATAGTTGTAGATGACAGGAGATACAGTATTTACAGTAAAGAATACCTTTGAAGAAGAAAATAAAAAAAACAAAGTAGCAAAATATTTAGTTATAATGCAAGAATTATATTCCAGAAAAAAATTGCCTTAAGAGGAGTTTCTCTACTGATAATAGGAAAGTGACTTGAAAAACCTGTAAAACCTGCACTGGTAAAAACTAATAACGTCTGGATAAAATACTTTAAAACATGCATTTTAAAACTCCACATTTATTTGGAAAGCAACACCCTACTCACCTCCCTAGTTTTTACAGTGCACAGTTAAAATATCAAAGTGCAACTGGGGAGAGCCAAAAATGAATGTCAGAAGAGACTGAAACTTGCTTTAGAATACAGAGTAGCTAAAGCAAATGGAAAAATGATGAAGTAGAATTGGAAAAAAAGATTTCTAAAAGAAATTAGAAAGGTGAACCAGCAGAATATAGAAATTATCTGACACTATAAATAATATCACACACAAGTAAAGTTTTGCTGAGGATAATTTTTAATGATTGTACCACTACGTTGACAGGGTAATACCATAAATGTAATCCAGAGTCAGAAGAGGATATGTAACACAGCTATCAGTTATGATTTCAAATGTTATCTTTACTGAAAGCAAAAAATACTAGAAAGATGCTTACCTGTGTTTTATTGACTATGCAAAGGCATTTGACTGTGTGGATCTTAACAAACAATGGTTAACAGAACTATGAAAATTCCAGAAAACGTAACTGTCCTCATGTAGAACCTATACATAGATTAAGAGGTAGCTATTCCCGTAAAGATTTACACCCTCGGAAACCCTGTACAGGGTCGCTATGGGTCGGACCCGACTCGATGGCACTTAACAACAACAACATTCTAACAAAACAAGGGGATATTGTACATTTTAAAATTAGAAAAAGTGTGTATCAGGCTGTATTCTTTTACCATACATGTTCAATCTGTATTGTATAAATATTTTGAGAATATGGATTGTATGAAGAACACAGAATCAGGATCACAGGATAATTTATTAACAACTTGAGGCATACAGACAATGTAATCTTGTTTTCTGGAAGCAGTGAGGATTTGATGCACATACTGATGAATATCAGAGATTACATCCTTCAGTAAGGACCTCTGGTAGCGTAGTGGTTACGAATCGGGCTGCGACCCTTAAGGTCAGCGGTTCGAAACTACCAGCCGCTCCGCGGGAGAAAGATGAGGCTTTCTACTCCCATAAAGATTTACACCCTCGGAAACCCTGTACAGGGTCGCTATGGGTCGGAACCAACTCGATGGCACTTAACTAACAACAAGTGTGGATTAACCTCAGCATAAAGAAACCAAAAATCCTCATTTTCCAAGTGGACTAATAAGTAACATCATAGTAAATGGAGAAAGGATTAAAATTGTTAAAGATTTCATTTTGCTCCATCCACAACCAAAGCCCTGGGAAGCAGCACTCAAGCAAACACACTAAGTGTTTCATAGGTTAAATCTTCTGCAAAAGAGTTCTTAAATGTGCTAAGAGCAAAGATGTGAGGAGTTAAGGTATACCTGACACATGTCTTCCATAATGAATAAGGAAGACCAAAGAAGAATCAATGCATTTGAATTATGGTGCTGGCAAAGAATACTCAAGTACTATGGGCTGCCAAAAGAACAACCAAATCTGTGTGGAATAAGTACAGTGGGAATATTCCTTAGAAGTGAGAACAGTGAGACGTGATCTCTCATACTTTGGGCATGTTATCAGGAAGGATAAGTCCCTGGAGAAAGACAACATGTTTGGAAAAGAAGAGTGGTCAGTGAAAAAGAGGAAGACCATCAATGAGATGGACTGACACAGTGACAAAAAAATGGGGTCACACATAGCAACAACCGTTAGGATTGCTCAGGACATAGTAGTGATTCATTCTGTTGTACACAGAGTCACTAGGATTGAAAACTGAGTAGAGGGCACCTAACAACAACAACCTGTGGCATGTCTGATACTGCAGCACTAAGAAACTAGGTAATGATACAAGCCTGACGTCCTCCTGAAACAATTCTTATAACATAAATTTCAACATATCTAATCTTATTTCCTGAGGTGTCCTGGTGACACAAAGGCTGCTAACCAAAAGGTTGATGGTTTGAATTCATCTAACTGTTCTATGGAGAAAAATATCTAGTGACAGGCTTCCATAAAATAAGAGTTAAAGAAACCTCTGGGTAGTTCTACTCTGTCACACAGAATTCCTACAAGTCAGAGCCAACTCAAAGGCATCCAGCAATACCAAACTTATTTTCTATGAGTTTCATTATAAATATGGGAATAAACTTATTTGGAAAATCTAAAACCTATGCTAACTAGGCTAGATGTAGTCAAATAATGCCTTCTTATGACTCATCTAAAAGATCATACTTGAATATTTGAAAAGTAAAATCATTATCTCTAAGTAGTGACTTATTTCATTATAAATTTAAAAATATACATATATAAATGATTTAATATATGATTAACACTGATTCACAATTAATATTTTTATAGTTCACATAGAAATTTAGAAAAACATTTAAAATTAGAAAAACACTCTTGAAAATATCTAATTTGTTTTTATATTATTTTCTCAATGTAAAGTAACTTACCCTGGTGCATAGTTGCATATGAAAACTGCTGCATGTTTAATATGTCCAATTCTTAAACATGGAGTGACAGCACAGCCAACTTTGTAAGAATTGTCCCAAACAAGCTAAAATGAAAAATTTCAAAAATGCTATAAATGCTATATTTCATTTATAATAACCTTTAACTAAATAATTCAAGAAATAAGAACTATTATTTACTTAAATACAGGTAGAGAGTTATCATGGATTTCTAAAACTGCATGTAGAGTAACACATTAATAGATTCTAATACTGTATTCCTAGGAAAAATAATTTGAGAAACATTGGTTTAGAATAATCCTTCTGAGCCTAAGGAAGACACATGCGATGAGTTAATTTTTAGCCTCTAGTTGAATTAGAAAGTTATAGGTAGAAAGAAGGAAAAGACAGAGCAGACAAAGGTTTGGAAGAATGGAGTTTGTGCAGAGAAGTGAGTAAAGGATAAATAGTAAAAGAAAAACAGGGAAGAAAAAGAGATACAGGAGTAGGAAACAAGTGAATGGTACTAGCATTTATTATTCCTTTTGTTGAAAAATTTCATTAGAAGATATAAAAGAGACTATGGATTTTGTTATTTTTTTACAAAAAGTATAAGAATAGAGCTACAAAAGGAAAAACATGTCTTAAATTGAAATGAATAAAAAGAATAATTAAAGACATTCCAGAATGTTTTTGGATGGTTTTAATCATTCTAATGCTTTGAATAGCATTTTGTATTGTTGCTTAACCTCTGGAAGAGAGAAAAGTATTTCTACTTTTTTCTTTTTTTAAAATCTCAAGTCTCAATGGTTTTAAAAGTGTAATTTTAAAAGAAATTGGATAATGTATTAAAAAACTAGAGAATCAACTGCCAGAGTTAAACTAAGGTTAAGCAGGTCAAATACAAGGGTACGTCAAAAAGTACTGTCACAAAATCATAGAAACCTTTACTGAATAAAAAGATCTAAATGTGAAGCTACTGTTTCTTGTTCTATCCTTTATCTGGGTCTACACACTTCCAAAGGCAACATTTCCATCTCTCTAAATCCTGGTGTGGTGTGTAAGATAAATAGACAAAAGTCCCTCCCTCAATGTTACTAAACTGAATTTAGAAGGATTCAGTCTGTCAGCTAAATAAAATATATCATTGATATTTATGGTCAGTAATATAAAAATAATGTCTATTTTCTGGGTTCTTGCTTCCTTTTCCAGTGTGAATTATTTTTAGAAAAGTGGCTTTTCCTTTGGGTATACAGATTAACAACAATATATATATATATATCAATTTGAGTCAAGTCTAACTCATTGTTGTTGTTAGGTACCATTGCATGAGTACTCATAGCGATCCTATGCACAACAGAAAAAAACACTGCCAGGTCCTGGGCCAACCTTACAATTGTTGCTTTTCCTGAGCCAATTGCTGATTGGGGTCTTCATGCTGAGGGTCTTCTTCTTTTTCTCTGACCCTCCACTTTACCAAACATGATATCCTTCTTCAGTAATTGGGCCCTCCTGATAATATGTCTGAAGTATTAGAGATGAAGTCTGGCCATCCTGGCTTTCAAAGAGCACTCTGGCTGTACTTCTTCTAACACAGATCTGTTTGTTCTTTTGGCAGTCCACAGTACTTTTAATATTCTCCTACAACACTATATAACCCAGCTTCTTGGATTATTTGCTCAGCATACAGGTTGAATTAAGTATGATGAAAGAATACAATCCTGCCACAAACCTCTCTTAATTTTAAACCATTCAGCGTTCCCATGTTCTGTTCAAACAACTGCCTCTTTGTCCATGTACAGATTCCTCATGAGCACAATTAAGTGTTCCTGAATACTCATATCTTATCATGACCCACACAATCGAAAGCCTTTGTGTAGTCAATAAAGCACATGTAAACATCTTTCTGGTATTCTCTATTTCAGCCAAGATCCATCGGACATCAACAATGATACCCTCATTCCATGGCCTCTTCTGAATCCTGCTTGAATCTCTGGAAGTTCTATGTCAATGTATGCTTGCAGCTATTTCTGTATTACCTTTAGTAAAACTTTACTTGCGTGGGATATCAAACATATCATCTGATGATTTCCGTATTCCATTGGGTCACCTCTCTTTGGAATGGGCACAAATATGGATCTCTTCCAATCAGTCGGCCAGATAGTTGTCTTCCAAATTTCTTGGCAAAGATGAGTGAGTGCCACCAGTGCTGCCTAACTTTCTTGAAAGATTTCAATTTTTTATTCCATCAATTCCTGGAGCCTTGTTCTTTGCCAATTTCTCAATTGCACCTTGGATTTCTTCCTTCATTATCACTGGCTCTTGCTCATCATTGATCATTGATCATGTTGATCATTGAACATCAGCCATTTCCTGTTGGTACAGTGACTCTGTGTATTCCTTCCATTTTCTCTTGATGCTTTCTGCATCATTCAATAATTTGCCCAGAGAATCCTTCAATAACGAAAGTTGAGGCTTGAATTTTTTCTTCAGTTCCCCCAGCTTGAGAAATGCTGAGTGTGTTCTTCCTTTTTGGTTTTCTGACTCCAGATCTTTGCAGTTTTTGTTGTAATATTTGACTTTATCTTCTTGAGCTGACCTTTGAAATTTTCTGTTTAGCTCTTGTACTTCCTCACTTCTTCCATTTGCTTTAGCATCTCTACACTGGTGAGCAAGTTTCAGTGTCTCTTCTGACATCCATTTTTATCTTTTCCTTCTTTCTTGTCTACTTATTCAACCTGTATGCTGAGCAAATAATCCGAGAGGCTGGGCTATATGAAGAAAAATGTGGCATCAGGATTGGAGGAAGACTCATTAACAACCTGCGATATACATATGATACAACCTTGCTTGCTGAGAGTGAAGAGGACTTAAAACATTTACTGATGAAGATCAAAGAGCACAGCCTTCGATATGGATTAAATCTCCATGTCAAGAAAACAAAAGTCCTCACCACTGGACCAATAAACAACGTCCTTATCAATGGAGAAAAGATTGAAGTTGTCAAGGATTTCATTCTTCTTGTGTCAACGATCAACACTCATGGAAGTAGCAGTCAAGAAATCAAACGACGTATTTCATTAGGCAAATCTGCTGCACAAGACCTTTTTAAAGTGCTGAAGAGCAAAGATGTCAGCTTGAGGACTAAGGTGCGCCTGACCCAAGCTATGGTATTTTCAATAACCTCAAATGCATGTGAAAGCTGGACAGTGAATAAGGAAGACCATCAAAGAATTGATACTTTTGAGTTATGGTATTGGAGGAGAATATTGAAAGTGCCATGAGCTGAAAAAAGAACAGATAGATCTGTGTTGGAAGAAGTACAGCCAGAGTGCTCCTTGGAGGCCACGATGGCCAAACTTGGTTTCTCATACTTTGGACATATTGTCAGGAGGGACCAGACGTTGGAGAAGGATATCATGTTTGGTAAGGTGGAGGGTCAGAGAAAAAGAGGAAGACCCCCAGCGAGATGGATTGGCAAAGTGGCAGCATCAATGGGCTCAAAAGTGGCCACAATAGCGAGGTTGGCCCAGGACCGGGCAGTGTTTCTTTCTATTGTACATAGGGTCGCTATGAGCTGGTACCAACTCGATGGCACCTAACAACAACAACAACACTATAGTTCATCTATGGTCTTCCTTATTCACTTTCCAACTTTCGCTTGCATATGAGGTTATTGCAAATATGATGTCTTAGGTCAGGCACAACTTAGTCCTCAAATTGACATCTTTGTTTTTCAAATCTTTACATTTCTAACTCATAGTGACCCTATGGGACAGACTAGAACTGTCCTACAGGATTTCCAGAGCAGACCTGTCCTATTTAAATCTTTACGCTCCTTCTTCTTCCAAGGAATAACTAGTGGGTTCAAATAGGTGACCTTTTGGTTAGTAGCCCAGTGCTTTAATCAGTGGACAACCAGGGCTCCACATAGGGAGAGTAGGTTTCTGTGGGATAAGCACTGGACTGCCAACCATGAGGTTGGGAGTTCAAATCCATGAGTCACTCTTCAGAAACCCTATACACGGTCACTCTGAGTTGGAATAATTCAACAGCATTTAACAACAGCAACAATGTATTTAAACAAATGTTTTAACGGCGTGGTTTATGTAATCAATGGAATTAGAGGCATTTTGAAGATCTCAGACTCATTAGAATCTTTATTTTATTAGAGATAAACATTCTACCAATTAAGTTTATTATAGTTGAAATATAATCAATTGAAACTAGACAGTAAAGTATTTAAGGATTCTATTGAATTAACAAAAATATAAAAATTAGTTACCTGCAAATAATGAGAACATTCGTAAGTACAACTATCATTTTCATAATGATAGTTTTGCTTTTCTGCATACCAACTTCTGATAGCAATACTTGCAGTAAATTCATTCTCAGGGCCAATCCAGATATTTTCTCCAATACCATTAAATCTAGGATGGGCCATATTTAGGTCTTCCAAATAAATATTAGGTGTAACCAAGCATTTTTTCCCCCATGCTCTAGCAGTCCGTGACAATGCTACATCCCATGTCTGAAAAAAAAATTTTTTTTAAAGCAAAGAAAACAAAATATTAGTGAGGTCGTTTGTCCTCTAAATTAGTTTACTTGGGGTTTCATATTCAGATTTAATAAAATCAGAATTCTAACTTTGTACTTATGGGTTTTGTTTATGGAATTTCTACGGGGGAAAACTTTTGACATAATCATAAAAAATAACTTTTTCTGAGACAAATAACCATGGAATATTATATTATTAAAATATATAAATGTTGTTGTTGTTGCTAAGCGTCATCATGTCAGTCTGACTCATAGCAACCTTGTATAGGGTTTTCAATAGTGGGTTTTCTAGTGGGTTTGAACCTTCTGGCTAGCAGTCCAGTGCTTATCCTATAATGCCACACCAGGAGTCCATCTAAATATTAGATGATATGAATTATTATAAAACTCTTATATATGACTAATCCATCTTTTCAGATTGGCCTGCAGCTAACAACAACAATCCAGTGCTTATCCTACAGCACCACACCAGAACTCTGTGTGTGCGTGTGTGTGGTACTGAAGGATAAGCACTGGACTGAGAACCACAAGGTTGGCAATTCAAACCCACCGCCTGCATCTAGGAAACCCTGCATAGGGTTTCTATGGGTCAGAATCAACTCTACAGCACTTAACAGCATCAGTATATTTTATATTTATATATATATGTACAATATATGTATATATACAATATATATATTGTTGTTGTTCGTTGCTATCGAGTCAGTACCAACTCATAGCGACCTTATGCACAACAGAATGAAACACTGCCCGATCCTGGGCCAACCTCACTACTGTTGCCACGCTTGAGTCCATCGATGCTGCCACTTGGCCAATCCATCTCCTTGGGGGTCTTCCTCTTTTTCTCTGACCCTCCACCTTACCAAACATGATACCCTTATCCAGTGACTGGTCCCTCCTGACATACACACATGTGTATATAAAACACTTTCAAAGTCGATCATTGTGTGAATATTTTTTTCCGTTTGTACTCTTGTACTGACACCACACACATTATTATTGACCAGCAACTTGAGGTTTTCTTACAAAGAACTTCCCATAGCAATATAATTACATATACAAATGTAGCAAGTATTCCAAAGTACCAATAACTTGTCATAAAGGTAACCATACCACTATTAGTTTTCTATTTTGCAAACAATTGTCTTATTTTGCATATAATTTAAATCCCAAATACTTACCATGCTCTAGCCAGTATCCTAAATATTTTACAGCAATATCTCATTTAATGCTCTTTATAACTCTCTGAGATATGTATTACTCTCATTGCATTTCTTATTTACAGAGGAATATTTAAAACTAATTATGACGAATTGTTTTTTTTTAATCTCACAGTCAGCAAATTGCAAAGTATAGATTTAAACCAAGGAAATCTAACACACCAACTTCAAGATTGTATACATGTTACCTACATGTTTCTCTGCCATTATGTGCAAATATCACCCCTTCTCTGTCAGTCTGTCGCATGTTGAGGCTTGCGAGTTGCTGTGATGCTGGAAGCTATGCCACTGGTATTTTAAATCCTGGCAGAGTCACCCATGGGGGACAGGTTTCAGCTGAGCTTCCAGACTAAGCCAGACTCAGAAGAAAAACAGATAGACTACATCCTAATGTTTCCCCACTGAAGAGTGGCAGTAAAACACTGTCAGATAGACCAGAATTTTCAATATTGAAACTTGATGAATAGTGGCAGAATATTGTCAAATATTGTGCAGGATGATGAGCCCCTCATGTTGGAAAGTATTCAAAATATGGTTGGGGAAGTGCTGCTACTTCAAAGTAGAGTTGACCATAATGATGCGAATGGAGTAAGCCTTCAGAAACATCATTTGCTCAAGGGGCAGAACTCAAAATGAAGAGAAAGCATCTGTTAATGTTTGGAACATGGAATGTATGAAGTATGAACCAAGGAAAATTAGAATTTGTCAAAAATGAAATGGAACGCATAAACATCGATATCCTAGGAACTAGTGAGCTGAAATGGATTGGTATTGGCCATTTTGAATCTGACAATTATATGGTTTACTATGCTAGGAATGACACATTCAAAAGGAATAGGGTCAAAGTCGTCATAAAAAATAACATTTCAAAGTTTATCTTCAAATATAATGCTGTCTGTGATAGTATAATATTCACACACCTATAAGAAAGGCTAGTTAATACCACTATTATTCAAATTTATGCACCAACAACTAAAGGCCATAATGATGAAATTGAAGAATTCTATCAATTTCTTCGGTCTGAAATTGATCAAACATGCAATCAAGATATATTAATTATTATTGGTGATTGGAATGAAAGATTTGGAAACAAAGAAAGATCAATATTTGGAAAATTTGGACTGGGTGGTAGAAATGATGTTGGAGATCGCATGATAGAATTTTGTAAGATCAATGGCTTATTGATTGCAAATACCTTTTTAAACACATAAAGGATTATTGTACACATGGATTTCATCAGTTTAAGTAAACAGAAATCAAATTGGCTATATTGGTGGGGAGAGACAGCGGAAAAGCTGCATATTATCAGTCAAAACAAAGCCAGGACAAAGTATAGAACAGGCCATCAATCGCTCATATGCAAGTTCAGGCTGAAGTTGAAGAAAATTAAAACATGTCCAAGAGAGCCAAAATATGACCTTGAACATATTCCACCTGAATTTAGAGATCATATCAAGAACAGATTTGGTATATTATACAGTGATGACCGAAGGCAAGAAAAAAGGAAAAGACCAAAATGGGTATCAGAAGAAACTTGCTCCCCTGCAAAAAGATGATAAAGCAAATGGAAGAAATGAGGAGGTAAAAGAGTTGAACAGAAAATTTCAAAGAGGGGCTCAAGAAGATAAAGTAAAATATTATAATGAAGTGTGTAAAGACCTGGAGTTAGAGAACCAAAAGGGAAAAATTTATGCTCCACATTTCGCAAGCTGAGACAACTGAAGAAAAAGAGTTCAAACATCTGCTTACAATTCTGAAGCTATTGACAAAATATTAAAAGATGCAGAAAGCATCCAAAGAAGCTGAAAAGAACACACAGAGTCACTGTACCAGAAAGAAATGGTTGCTGTTCAATGATAAAGAGTAATTGGTACTAAAGAAAGAAGGCCAAGGTGCACTGAAGGTATTGGCAGAGAGAGGCTCTGGGAATTGACAAAATATAAATTGAAATCTTTCAACAAACTGATGCAGTACTGGAGATACTCATTTGTCGATGCCAAGAAATTTGGGAGAGAGCCACCTGGCCAATTGATTGTTGTTGTTGATGTTAAGTGCAGTTGAGCCTGTTCTAACTCATAGTGACCCTGTATAAGGGTTTCTGAGGAATGGCTGGTGAATTTGAACCACAAGCCTTGCAATTCAAACTGACCTTGAATCCAGTGCATGATCCCACAGTGCCACACCAGGCCTCCAATTAATTGGTTGTTGTTGTTGTTAAGTGCCGTTGAGTCAATTCCAACCCATAGCAAACCTGTATAAGGGTTTCTGAGGAGCAGCTGGTGAGCTTGAACCACTGAGCTTGCAGTTCAAACGGCTTTGCAGTCTGGCGCATTAACCCACAATGCCACACCAGGAGAGATCCATATTTGTGCCCATCCCAAAGAAAGACAACCCAGTGGAATGTAGAAATCATAGGTCAATATCATTAAGATCACATGGAAATAAAATTTTGCTAAATATGGTAAAAACAAACAAACAAACAAAAAAAAAAACAGCTGCAACAGTACATTGACAGAGAACTGCCAGAAGTTCAAGCTAGATTCAGACACTGCTAATATCAGATGGATATTTGCTGAAAGCAGAGAATATCAGAGAGATGTTTACCTGTGCTTCATTGACTATGCGAAGGTTTTTGACTGTGTGGATCATGACAAGCTATGGACAATACTGCTGAGAATGAGTATCTGGTACACTTACTTGTGCTCATGAGGAACCTGTACATAGACCAAGAGGCAGCCTTTCTAACAGAACAAGGGGACACTGAATGGTTTAAAATCAGAAAAGTTGTGTGCCAGGGTTGTATTCTGTCTCCATACTTACTCAATCTGTGTGTTGTTGTTGTTGTTAAGCGCTGTTGAGTCGGTTCCAACTCATAGCAACCCTGTATAGGGTTTCTGAGGAGCACCTGGTGGTTCAAATCAATATTACGGTCCGGGACATTAACCCATATTGCCACACCAGGCGGAACAAATCATCCAAGAAACTGCATTATATGACGAAGAATATGACATCAGGATTGGAGGAAGGATCATTAACAATCTTCAATATGCAGCTACAACCTCGCTTTCTGAAAGCAAGAGGACTTAAAATTCATACTGATGATGACCACAGGTCACACCCTTTGGTATGTGTTGCACCTCAATATAAAGAAAACAAAAATCCTCACAACTGGACCAATAAATAACATCATCATCCGTGGAGAAAATATTGAAGCTCTCACTTTTTTGCTCAGATCCACCATTGATACTAATGGAAGCAGAAGTAAAAAAATCAAATAATGTATCAATTTAGGCAAATCTGTAACACAAGACTTCTTTATAGTGTTGAGGAGCAAAGATGTCAGTTTGAGGACTAAAGTGCACCTGACCGAAACCAGGCTATTTTCAATAGCACCATATGCATGTGAAAGTTGGACAATGAATAAGGAAGATGTTAGAAGAAGTGATGCTTTTGAGTCATGGTGTTGAAGAATATTAAAGATACCATGGACTATCAGAACAAAAACCAAATCTGTGTTGGAAAAAGTACAACCAGAATGCTCCTTAGAAGCCTAGATGGCCAAAGTTTGTCTATAATACTTCAGACATATTATCAGGAGGGACCAGTCTCTATAAAAGGAGATAATTCTTGGTAATGTGGGGAGATAGCAAAAAAGAAAAAGTGCCATAATGAGATGGATTGGCACAATGGCAGCAAAAATGGGCTCAAGCATAAAAGCAGTTGTGAGGATGGTGCAGATCAGGCACTGTTTTGT